CGGCGATTTTTGCACTATAGTTGTTTTAACCTTATCTAAATCTTATTTGAATAATTTTTGTATATGAGTAATATCAATGATCTGAATAAAACAACATTGTATGTATGTATGTATGTATGTATGTATGTATGTATGTATGTATGTATGTATGTATGTATGTATGTATGTATGTATGTATGTATGTATGTATGTATGTATGAATGTATGGATGTATGCATGTATGTATGTATGTATGTATGTGCGTATGTAGGTATGTATATATGTATGTACTCTTACTTTTGAACTATATTTGGTTTCATATCATTTAATTTATTGAAATGCTATAGAATCCTAAATTCAAAACTTTAATTTTATATACTCATTTTGAACTATATTTTGATTCATAAGATTAATAGAATAGAATCTGCAGTTCAATAACTTTTGATTTATTTCGATCTAGTTTAATCCTTGATTTTTGTCGAACTATTTTAATTTTTGTTGATCAATGTTGATTTTATTTGGATAGGGTGACTTTCTTACAAGCATTTGGTTGCTTTTTTAGTTTACCCCTCTTTTGAGAAAATAAACGAATTGAATTGAAATATATATATATATATATATAGATATATATAGATATATATATATATATATATATATATATATCTTGGAATTCAAAAGATATCTAAAGGCATACATGTTTAAATCATTGTTATGAATTACGTTGTTCTATTATATTTAATTAACATGGGGTGCTGATGAAAATTTTGAATAATAATTAGCGCTATATAAATTTTAACAAAAATAATAATAATATACAAGACGAATACACACACACACACACACACATACGCACACGCACACAAGGACAAACAATCTTTCTCTCAGTGGCATCAACACAATTAAAATTGTCTTCAAAACAACTGAAACTTAAATCAAATTTGAAATATGTAACAGTGTTAAACCAACCTACACTTGCAGCTTGTTAGTGAAGTTCTTTCGTCGAGTTAGAAAACACGATGTTGACAATGGCTGCTTATTTGTGCTAGTTAAAGAGTTAATTTTAGTAGTTTAAAATTCGTTCTGAGTTTCAGATGTGGTATTAATTATTTTTCTTTTTGGCGTTTGAGTTGTTGTTTTTAATGTCGTTGATGCCATTAATGTCATAAGCTCTCGTTGATGTTGACGTAATTGGCCTTTAGTGTCCTATGTTGATGTCATTTGATGCGATCACTTGTGAAGTTGTTGCTAATGTCATGAGTGTCATGGTGAGGATGTTATTTTGTTGTTAATGATGTTGATGTTGTTGTGGTTGATGATCTTATTGTTGTTGATGTAGATGTTGTTGTTGTTGATGCTCTTGTTGTTTATGTTGTTGTTGTTGCTCTTGTTGATGTTGTTGTTGTTGTTGCTGATGTTGTTGTTGTTGTTTATGTAGATATATTTGTCATCGTGTCTTCCACACACACATGTATATATACACATTTATATTGGAAGAGTGTGGCCTCATTCCAACATTTAAGCGAATTTCTGCATATATATAACATCAAAATTACGATTAAAGTTAAAATTAATGACATTAATGAGATTTAAAGCCAGTAAACTATGATGATGATGATGACGATGATGATGATGATGATGATGATGATGATGATGACGATGATGATGATGATGAAGATGATGATGATGACGATAAATGTGTAGATAGGCTGATGATGATGTTGACCATGACTGAATGTTTATTATCGATCGAACTCGTTGCAGATTTGAGGATCGATAAATTTTTTTTTGTAAAGAATTTGGGTTAAAAAAGCCGTGGCAAGTTAACATACAATATGACAAACAACGAAGATGATGATGATGACGAAGATGAAGATGATGACGATGATGATGATGATGAAGAAGATGCTGATGATTATTGTGATGATGATGACGAAGATGAAGATGATGACGACGATGATGATGATGATGATGATGAAGAAGATGCTGATGATTATTGTGATGATGATGACGAAGATGAAGATGATGATGATGATGATGATGGAGATGAAGATGACGACGATGATGACGATGATTATTGTGATGATGAAGATGAAGAAATGACGATTATCATTAAAGAGTCCATTAATTTGAAGAATGTTTTTTAAAATAATTGAAATAACTTTTTCATGAAAAAAAATTAAGCGCTGTACAAAGTTACCATTTCAGTGTCGTTGTCTTTGGTATCGTTGTTGTTGTTTATTTTTTGCAATTGTTGTTGATGTTTATGGTGTCGTTGTTGTTGATGTAGGTATGATTATTTCGCTGGTGTATATCATTCTACTGGGATTTTTGTTGTTGTTGTTGCTGTTTCTGCTGCTGCTGCTTTTGTTGTTGTTGTTGTTGTTGTTTTTGTTGTTGTTGTTGTGATCATGTGATGTTGATGTTGTCAAACAAGTTCGAATTCTAATAATTTCAAACTAATTTAGAACTGTTTTTAAAGATATTATTATTAATGAGGTTGTGGTGGTTGTGGCTTGTGGTA